GGCAGTGTGTGGTGTGCACAGGCGCTGCGGTGCACACTACTGTTGTGGTGTACAGAGGCATCTGTGGTGTACACATGCATTGTTGCGTAGACAGGCGCTGCGGTGTACACAATCAGTTGTGGTGTGCGAAGGCGCCGTGGCGCACGCTAGACAAGCGCTGTGGTTCACACAAAAATGGTCGACCAAAAACGGGGGTACCGCACCCCGGGCCAGAAAAATCAAGAATCACACTTAATTTACAGATTGAATGTGATATGTTCGGGTCTCTGGCGATTTTCCAGATTTGGGCCCTGGACCTTGGAGGTGCACGGAAGCGCTGTGGCGCAAATGTTTGCCATCCGCTGTGGTGCACACGGCTCCTGTGGTGTGCACAACCACCACAGTGTACACAGGCGCTGTGGTGCAGACGGGTGTTGTGTACACAGGCATTGTGGTGTACAGAGGCACTGTTGTCTAGACAGGCACTGCGGTGTACACAAGCAGCTGTGGTGTACAAAGGCGTCGTGGCGCACGCTGGACAGGCGCCGTGGCGCACGCTAGAAAGGCGCTGTGGTGTACACAAACATTGTCGGCAAAAAACGGGGGGGGCAACGTGCCCCGGGCCAGAAAATCAAGAATTACACAAAAATTACACATTGGATTTGATACGTTCGGGCCCCCAGCGATTTTCCGGAGCTTGGCCCCGTCGGTATTGCGTTCAGGCATACACGAACTTTGCGGTGTGCGCAGGCGCTGTGGTGCACAGGGGGTGCTGAAACAGCGGCTGTGGTGCACGCAGGCGCCGTGGCGTGCGCAGATCGCGCGATGTACAAAGGCGTCGTGGTGCACGCGGTTGTTCTGATATACGCAGTCGCCACGGTGCACACACATACGATTTCTGTCGCAACCCTGGTGCGCAAAGGCATTGTACAGAGCCCGTGTTGTGTGCACAGGCGCTGTGGGCTTGGGCGGCGACGACGACGACGACGACGACGACAACGACGGAGGCGGCGCGCCTCAAGGGGTGCGCGCCGCGGCCCCAATTACCGTTACCCCCCCCCCCACACGCCTCCCCCCCCCCGGGTAGCATGCGATATCCCCCAGAAATAAAAAATTGCCTCAGGGAGAGGAGGGCCACGAAACGTTGTACAGGGTGGGGGGGACGCATGCGGACGGTAGCACTGGGAAGTGGCGTTCCCTGTTGGGCCACGAAACGCTGTACTCGGTGGGTGAAACGCAGGGAGAGGGGGAGGAGGGCAACGAATGTACTGGGTGGGGGGGGCGCATGCGGACGGTAACACTGGGACCTTCGGTGGTGTTCCGTATGGGGCCACGAAATGCTGTACTGGGTGGGTGAAACGCAGGGTGGGTGAAACGCAGGGAAGAAGGGGAAGAGGGCCACGAAACGTTGTACTGGGTGGGCGGGACGCACGCAGACCTTCGATGGGGTTCCCTAAAGGGCCACGAAACGCTGTACTGGGTAGGTGAACCGCAAGGAAGGGGGGGGAGGAGGGCCACGAAACGTTGTACAGGGTGGTGGGGACGCATGCGGACGGTAACACCTGGACCTTCGGTGGGGTTCCCGATGGGGCCACGAAACGATGAACTGGTGGGGTGAAACGCAGGGAGAATCGGGAGAAGGCCACGAAACGTTGTACTGGGTGGGCGGGACGCACGCGGACGGTAGCACGGGAACCTTCGGTGGGGCTCCGTATGGGGCCACGAAACGCTGTACTGGGTGGGTGAAACGCAGGGAAAGGGGGAGGAGGGCCACGAAACGTTGTACTGGGTGGGGGGGGGCGCATGCGGAAGGTAGCACTGGGACCTTCGGGAGGGCTCTGTATGGGGCCACGAAATGCTGCACTGGGGGGGTGAAACGCAGGGGGAGGAGGAGAGCCCACGAAACGTTGTACAGGGTGGGACGGGGGGCGCATGCGTACAAATCTAACAAAAAAAAAGAAAAAAAAAAAGAAACAACAAATATAAAAAAACCAACAATAAAAAGAAATCAACAAAAAAGAAATAATACAAACCAACCAAAAAAAAAAGACAATATAAAAAAAAAGAAAACAGAAACAGAGACAAAAAACAAGATCACAGAACCAAAAAACAAACACAAGAAAAAACAAACAATGATACACTGGGACCTTCGGTGGTGTTCCGTATGGGACCACGAAATGCTGTACTGGGTGGGTGAAACGCAGGAAGGAGGGGGAAGAGGGCCACGAAACGTTGTACAGGGTGGGGTGGACGCATGCGGACGGTAGCTCTGGGACACTAGGACGAGCGGTGGGGTTCCGTATGGGGCCACGAAGCGCTGTAGTGGGTGGGTGAAACGCAGTGAGGATGGGGAGGAGGCCACGAGAGGAGGCCACGAAACAATATACCGGGTGGGCGGGACGAAGGCGGACGGTAGCACTGGGACCTTCGGTTGGATTCCCCTAAGAGGCCATGAAACGTTGTACTGGCTGGGTGACATGCAAGGAGGAGGAGGGGAAGGGCCACGAAACGCTGTACTGGG